TTCTCCTTGCTCTGGGCCTGCCGGGCCAGCTTGGCACTGCCATGACCAAACCTCGCAATGTAGTTCTAAAAGAGACCAAAGGGAGCTTGGAGTACATGCAGGCGCTCAACAATTCATCTTCAATCCAGGGCAAAAATGGTGATCGTAACTCCTTCCCAACCTCCTCCATCACCCCAATTTGTCCCAATGCCCTCATCCAAGCCCCCTGCTTGTTTTGGACAGGAAGCCACGAGCCTGACTCTGCAGCCTCCCTACCTTCATGTGTGCAATCTGATCTTGCTCCCAGTGAAACCTCTTCATCTGGTTCTCCTCCAGCTCTAGCCGCGTCTTCACATACTGATCATAATTACCCTGCATGGAAATGTGCCAGGTAAGGCGGGCAGCTTTAACCTGGGTTTCAATCCTGGATTCTCATTCAGAGTTTAGGGGGATGAGGGATGGCACTGACTTGGCCCTGGCTCTAAGAATGTGCAGTAAGAACAGAGGAAGTGCATTACAGAAGCATATCCTAACCTCAAATCAGAGTCTTTTCAATTCTATGCCCCTTGCTCAGCGCAGCCAGGGTCAGGCTCCAGCGCAAATCCTTAGGTTAGCCAGAAAGACACCTGTGGCAATGGGAGTAGCCCTGAAAATCACGGTCATAGAGACGTCATGAGACTGACAGCCTTCCAATACCACCTCCCATTCCTCTCCCAGCCCCTAGAGGCTGAAGCCCCACAAAAGACTACAAGAGCTGTCTCCAGATAGGAAAACAGACCAGTCAGATTTAGAAGCTGACAAACCCTGCATAAGTGGACTACCATGGCTTCTATCTGCAAACAAAAACTGGACTCAAGCTAAATATCCATCAGAAAGGGCCTAACACGTTACAGGATAAACACATAACGAAATACTGTGCAGTCACTGAAGATTGTGGTTGATTTATATATACTCACATGGAAAGCAGTCCAAAATATACTAAATTTAAAAAGCAACCTACAGAATGATTATTAAAATTGTAACTGTGGCCAGTTGCAGTGGCTCACGCCTGTAATCCCAACACTTTGGGAGGCTGAGGTGGGTGGATCACTTGAGGCCAGGAGTTTGGGAGCAGCCTGGTCAACATGGCAAAACCCTGCCTCTACTAAAAATATAAAAATTAGCCAGGTATGGTGGCATGTGCCTGTGGTCCCAGCTACCTGCGAGGCTGAGGTGGGAGGATTACTTGAACCTGAGAGGCAGAGGTTGCAGTGAGCCAATATCACGCCACTGGACTCCAGCCTGGGAGACAAAGACAGACCCCATCTCAGGAAAAAAGAGGCCAGGTGCGGTGGCTCACGCCTCTAATCCCAGCACTTTGGGAGGCTGAGGCAGGCGGATCATGAGGTCAAGAGAGCAAGACCATCCTGGCCAATATGGTGAAACCCCGTCTCTACTAAAAATACAAAAATTAGCTGGGCATGGGGGCGCGCACCTGTAGTCCCAGCTACTCAGGAGGCCGAGGCAGGAGAATCCCTTGAACCTAGGAGGCGGAGGTTGCAGTGAGCCCAGATTGCTCCACTGCACTCCAGCCTGGCAACGGAACAAGACTCGGTCTCAAGAAAACCAAAAAAAAAAAATGCTGCAATTGTATAAAAAGATATGTATATATGAAATTTTCTACAAATGCGTGCAAGTATACATGAAGTGTCTGAAAAGCTATATTAAAAACTAATACTCCTATGACTATGAATGAAAAGGACATCAATTGTTAATTTCTTATATGCTTTTTGAAATATAAAATGAAAAGGCAAGGCACAACAGTGGGCTGTTGAGATCCTGATCCCCATTCTCCTGTGGTCATGGAAGATGGGGTAAATGTGTTAACTCCAGTGAAGCAGAGTTAAGACGGCATTCAAGAAGGCAGAGGGAGGCCTGGTACAGTGGGTCATGCCTGTTTTTCCAGCACTTTGGGAGGCCGAGGTGGGCAGATCACCTGAGGTCAGGAGTTTAAGACCAGCCTGGCCAATATGGCAAAACCCTGTCTCTACTAAAAATACAAAAACTAGCCAGGCGTGGGGGTGCATGCCTGTAGTCCCAGCTACTCGGAAGGCTGAGGTACAAGAATCACTTGGATTCAGGAGGTAGAGGTTGCAGTGAGCTGAGATCGTGCCAGCCTGGGTGACGGAATGAGATTCTGTCTCCAGAAACAAAAAGGCAAGGCAGATGGCAGCAGGGCCTGCCTGGGCACCGTGAAAAGTCACCTTCTTTGCCACAAGGCAAACATACACCATGTGCACAGGCTGCCAATCCATGGCCTATGGCCTGGAAGCAATGACTTTGGGATTAAAATAAAACAGGTGGCAGGACTCCTTGTCCATATCCTTTTCTTTTTTTGAGACGGAGTCTTGCTCTGTCGCCCAGGCTGGAGTACAGTGGCACGATCTCGGCTCACTGCAAGTTCTGCCTCCTGCATTCACGCCATTCTCCTGCCTCAGCCGCCCGAGTAGCGGGGACTACAGGCGCCCGCCACCACGCCCGGCTAGTTTTTTGTATTTTTAGTAGAGACGAGTTTTCACCATGTTAACCAGGATGGTCTCGATCTCCTGACCTCATGATCCACCCGCCTCAGCCTCCCAAAGTGCTGAGATTACAGGCGTGAGCCACTGCGCCCGGCCGTCCGTATCTTTTTATAGCAATAGGTAGAAAGGAGCTAACAGATAGGTCTGGTTTTTTTTTTTTTTTTTTTTTGAGATGAGTCTTGCTCTGTCACCCAGGCTGGAGTGCAGTGGCGTCATCTCAGCTCATTGCAACCTCCACCTCCAGGGTTCAAGTGATTCTCCTGCCTCAGCTTCCCAAGTAGCTGGGACTACAAGCACCTACCACTATACCTGGCTAATTTTTTTGTATTTTTAGTAGAGATAGGGTTTCACCATGTTGGCCAGGCTAGTCTCAAACTCCTGACCTCAAGTGACCCACCCACCTCAGCCTCCCAAAGTGCTGGGATTATAGGCATGAGTCACCACACTGGCATTCTTCTTTTTTTTTTGAAGAGAATTTCAGAGATTTGGTAAGCAGAGATTACCAGAAAGAAGCCGAGGCCCACTCACCGTATAATACTTCAGTTTCTTGTTGTGCATGTGAATGATGTTGGTACAGACACCATTCAGAAAATCCTGGGAATGGGAGACGAGGACCAAGATGCGCTTAAAACTGCAAAGCCAAAGAACCAATCAGTGAAGAGCTCAACCATGGGAGCTAGCTGACAACAGGTGAACTGAGAGTCAGGCCCATCCTTATTCCTAAGCACCTTTTAGATGTGTTGTCCAATTCCTGGTTGTCAGCAAGCCCCTAAGCCACCACTTAACAATCTAACTCTAAGGGACATCTTTCAGTGTGGCGAGACAGCCTGAGTTTCCTCAATCTTCTGTTCTAATTTTCAACAGAATGGAGTGGAGACAGTAGTCACAGTGATAGTAAACAGAAATGTGTATGTACACAAATACACCCATGAATGTATCCAAAACTGTGGGTGGGAAGACACAATAAAAAACAAAATGCTTTACTTTTTGAAAGAAGGTACTAAGTCACTGTACCACTAAAAGCCTTCTTTTAAAATTGGTACAGTATTCCAGCTTATTCAGTTCTTTAGCCGTAGGACCATGACCATATTGGCTATATTTTCCTTTGTCATTGCTTCATGGTCTTAGATGGAAGACCTCCTTTTTTTGCTTTATACAATTAAGAAAAAAAAATGTCTTTAATTAAGATCTTGAATTTGAAATATGGAAAAAATCAACAAGGATTTTTTTTTTTAATGCTCATAAATTTCAAACTAAAGAAAAACAATCAAACAAAACGGCCAGCCCTAAACAGCCCTAAAGGTGCTCACTGCTTGTCCAAGCAAGTGAACTCCGGCCTTCCTTCAGTTCCTTTCTCACCGCTCTAACAGCAGTGCAGTTTCTGGGCAGCCATTTTCTAGATTCCCCGCTTTGGGACCGGCCCACTCATATCCCCCATTCCACCTTCTTACGTTTTTAGTTCTTCTTCCAACCACACACAAGCATCTAGGTCCAGGTGGTTGGTGGGCTCATCCAGGAGCAGCATGAAGGGCCGAATAAAGAGGGCTCTGAAGGACAGTAAAGGAGACAGAAGCACCTCAGAATTATAATGGATGTGACACAGGAGGGACCAACTTGCCTGCTACATGCAGTTCTGAGTAGGCTCCTGGCTTGAGTCTTGAAATCAATTTTAGGCTCTATACTTCAGAGGGAAAAGAAGTAGGACACAAACAAGAGTCGAAGAGGAGAGACTGAAGAGTAGAATACGGGACTCAGAAGCATATAAGGACAGTTTGAGGCAAGGCTGTAGAAGTCTCTATGAGTTGATAAGCCTTGTGCACTGAAGTTGGATACCATAGAGACGACAAAAAGATACAAAGGAAATAAACTGCTAAAACAAATTAGACCTATCTGAAGTTCTGAAGATAGACCTATCTGGTGGGGTGGCCAGAGTCTCGCAAGGGATAGACTCTAAAGCTCTGGTTCCTCTAAAGTTCTGGTTCCCAAACCAGAAATCTCTGTTTTTAAAAGCTCCTTGGGTGAACCAGTGACAGCTAATCCTTGCTAGCAAGTGGAGCCACTGTGTTCATGTTCTAAGGCACACGCAGGCAACTTTCTAGAGCAGTATATCAAGTCTTATAAATTCCCTTCACAGAGAATGATGGGGCAAGGAATTACCTGTTTAGTGACTCGGGGGAGATTATTGGGGGAATGCTCGTCTATAGAAGCTCACTTTGAGTCCAGGCCACAACAGAGTAAGAATGATAGCTATCATAATCGCCGTCTAACATTTTATCTTTACAGCCAAAATTAGCAGGAGTACAGCACAAAAAAGGTGGAAAGGGAATCCTGGTGGGAGGACAGAAACAGACCTACTCTACCGTTTTACCTAGGACTACCTCTAGGATCTCTAAACTCTGTGCTGGGTGCTGGGAATCCAACAGAAAACTGAGTCACTCTACCACTTCAGCCAGGAAGCTCTCTCTCTAACCCATACGCAACAACCCCCTCTACACTGCAGATGTCCATGTCTCGTTTGACACTTACCGATGACTCCTGTTCCAAACAGTTCCACTGGAGTGAACACTAAACTCTGGAGAGATGGGGGAGTTACGGCGGTAAGGAAGGAGGGAGGGACTCACCTGGCAAGGGCAACCCTCATCCTCCAGCCCCCACTGAAGTCTTTTAGCTTCTTGCGCTGCATGGCAGGCGTGAAACCCAGTCCATGTAAGATCCGCGAGGCCCTCATCTCTGCCTTGTCAGCATCCAGCTCCTCCAGGCGCTCGTAGAGCTCCATGAGTTTCTCACACTCCGCTGTGGATAGTGTATGGCCATGAGGCTCCTGGGGGCCTTTCTGGGAGGACGCCCACCCCCATGCCCAGGTCTGGAGCCCTACCATCCTCATGAGCCAGCCGCTCTGCCTCCCTCTCCAGCATGGCCCGCTCTGTGTCAACTTCCATCACACACTGCAAGGGTGTCTTGTCACTAGGAGGCATCTCTCGAGTCAGATGGTAGATGTCAATGTGCTCAGGGATGGGCACTTCACGTTTCCCAATAGCGGAGAGCAGCATGGACTTTCCTGAGATGGGAGAGAAGCAGACGCTTGGTACACTGAGCTTCCCCTATTCCTCTTCACCACTAGCTCTTCCACCCCAGCCAAACTGGGACCTCATCCAATTTTTTTTTTTTTTTTTGAGGACCGTTCTTCCCTTTATTCGTTCAAACCTTGCCAGCCCCCATTCTTAGGATTCCTTTCCAACTTTCCCCCAATTCTTGCCACACCCCTTCTCTGAAGCTTTTTTCATTTACCACAGCTTCACACGCCCCTGACCAACTTCTCCAGCACCTGCTGTCTGTAACTACTCATGTGGTACAGGGTGGACGCACCCTAATCCGAAAATCCAAAATGCTCCAAAATCCAAAACCTTTTCAAAGCTGACATGACGCTTAAAGGAAATGCTCATGGGAGGATTTCAGGTTTTTGGATTAGGGATGCTCAGCTGGTAAGTATAATGCAAATATTCCAAGATCCGAAACACTTCTGGTTCCAAGCATTTCAGATAAGGGATTCTCAACCTGTACATACCACATACTGCTCTGCACTGCTAGTTCCTTTCCCCTGGACATATCTGGTCTCCCACCCACATTCTAAACACTTTGCTCTGAACATAGTTGCTGCTAAATACTTGTGAGTGACAGATGAGCCAAGGAGAGATACCTCCCACTTCCCCTTCCAAGGGCCTCACCAATTCCATTTAAACCAATGAGGCCATAACGACGGCCTGAGTTTAATTCCAGTTTGGTGTCACTGAGCAGCTCTTGACCATGAAAGGTGAGTGAGAGGTTGATAATGTGAACATCTGTACTGTTGGGGTGAGAGGCCAGGACGCCAGTGACAGCTCGAGCAGCAGCTTTCTTCATCTCAAAGTCCTCTAGCTCCTTGGTCAGCAAATCTATTTCTGGGGATAGAAAAGCAGTTTGGGAAGATGGCTGTGAGACAGACTCAGCTCTCCACAAAGAGGAACATCCTGAAGGACTGGGTTCCGATCCTGCTGAGCAGACTCAGATGTTTCCCAAGCTTTACAGAGTGCACACTGACACAGAGCTGCCCTGACACCCTGCTCGTTTTGACACCCATCCTTTTAATTATAATCTCTCTTGCCCTTGTTTTGTCCCTTCATATCTGTTTACTTACTCCCATCATTCATAACTTCTGTCCTCCACTACTGTGGCCAGGAATAAAACTTCCCCACAGCCTGACTTTACTGCTCCTTCTAATTGCTTTCTAACTCCCCCTTTTCTGAATGCCTGTTACAATTTGCAAAACTAATTCTCCTTTCCTCTTCAAACATTTACTTAGTGTCTATCTGAGAAGTTCATAAAAAAACCCAAGACCTAGTCCTTGCACTCAAAGATGACACAATTTAGACAAAGAAACAGGAGATACAACATAAAAAGGTAAGTAACACTAAAAGAAAGCAAAAGCATATAGAGAATGGAAATATTGAGGTCAGGTTTGACTGAGAGACGCTTCACTATCCTGAGCTAGGCCTTGACAGAAATGTCAAATGTAGCTAGCAAAAACATGATGGTATTAGAATTCAGTGTGTGAAAGAACAGAGATGTGGTGACTATTCAAGGGATAATAAATAGTTTGCATGGAGCAGAAGGCTGTTTAGGGAGTTTTCAGGGGGCAGGGAAGAGGGCTGGGATTGGACTGCCTAGGGCCTGGAATAGTCTTTACAGCATATTGCCATGTTTCCCCGTCTAGACGGTAAGTTTTTGGAAGGAAGACTGTAGTGCCTCAGTGTATAGCACCATGTCTAGCACTTGAGAAATAATAAATATTTCCCAAAATATAAATAACAGAAAGGGAGCTCTCTCCCAGGAAAAACCCCATGAAACAACCCATAAGTTAGTCTCTGGTAGGGAGAGCCACTACTCCTGTGAGGACAAGCGTATAACGTAGCACCGAACCTGGCACACTGGCCACCATGCATAGAAATGGAAACTGAAAAAGGGGCAGGGAACCGAGCCCCTCCTCACAGTCTAATAGAGCAGCAACACAGCTCAGCAACTCCCACTTCTGCTTGCCACTGAGTATGTGAGAACCTTGTCTTCGGCTTCCTCGCTCAATGATAGGGTGGCACAAATTCCAACTCTACTGATTTGATTCTTCATGAAAAGTTGCATGACACCAGATACATTCTCCACTGCCCCCAGCATCAAGATTCCGACTCTGGCTGGGGCATGCCTTAAGTCTTAGCAACCATTCCCAACTCACCCCTCCCTCAATTCACCTGTGGTCTCTCTGCCATTGGCCTCATTCTTCTCCTCTGCCACCTGTGGTTCTGTGACAGCATCTCCATTTTCTTCATGTCCTTTTCTGGGCCGCTGTCGAGCTTTGGCAGCCTCCTTCTTTTTGGCTGCCTTCTTCTTGGCCAGGTCGGAGGGCATGATGATGACCCACAGGGGTAGGTTAACTGTTCTTTCAAGGTGCCTGAAGGAAGGCAAACAGACACCCCCAAACTCTAAACTTACTAGTAAGAATGCCTGGGCCCTGCTCCATCCCTCTCAGGAATCTTCCTGTCAATATCAAGCCTCTGATGCCCTGGCCTGCCCCTGCCTCCTCTCTCCCAACTTGGTCAGGGTCTCTCAAACCAATGCCGATTCTCAGCCGCTCTTCTAATCTTAACATCTTTTTCCACAGGCACCAGTTCCCCCACGAACTGCCTCACTTTGGAAACGCTCCTTCTTTCAGGGCCTCCGGCTGGGGACCAGGTTCTGCCCCTCAGCGGAGGTCCCCGTCTCTGGTTTCCCTACAACTTGGCGCTCCGCACTCAGCTGGCCGCCTCGCTTTCCGGGCTTCCTTCTCCCGTCCGTCTCGGGCCTCTTCTCGGTCGTCCCTCTCCACACCACCCGGCCGCAGAACCCAGCCTCTTGCCGGGACGCACTCGTCCTCGCCCGCGTGAGTTCCCTCCTAGTCTCCACGCTCGTCACTCCGGGGTACTCCCCCACCCCTCCCGTGAGGTTCTCTCCCTGAGCTCTATCTTTCCCCTCGCAGAAACCTCCATCCAAACCCCGTTCCTCCTTCCTCTTCTAATCCTCTTTCCACATCACCAGCGGGCACCCTATCCCTACAGCGCCCCTTCCCCTAACTCACTGGGCCTTGCTGCTCGGCCTCTGTCGCAACAGAGCTGCTCCTTGGGCTCCTCCGCGTGCGGCCGGCTCACCAGCCAATCACGACCTCGGGTGGTTCTCGGCGCGCCGCCGCGCTGCCTCCTGGGAAGTGTAGTCCTCAAGTTGCAGCGGCCAAGAGTGAGACCCGGCTTCAGGACTACCGCGTATCCCAGAGACCTCGCGGGGCCGCGTGACGCCATCAGGATGCGCGAGGCTCGGGAAGGGGCGGGATTAGAGTCCAAGAGCTCTCTGCGAGCGGGCCCGCTTCGGGCGCTGGAAACTGCAAATCCCAGGTTGCTCGTCAGCTAAGCCGGCTGAGCCTTCCAGGCTTACCCCACCTCTCGAAAATCGATTGAGCTGTTGTGGAGTTACGAGTTTTTAGAGCTACCTAACCGACTCAGGCAGCAGGGCGTGCAACTACACTTCCCAGCTTACCTCAGCGGGAGTAGGTCGAAACAATGGGAGAGGAGAGGTGGGAGGTGAGCGGAGAAGGACTGAAATGAAGGGGACGCTGGGCAGGGGTCCCGGAAAGCGGGGCATCCCTGCGAAGATGTTGCCAACGGAATTCCTTCACGAAAGAAAGCGCCTTGGTTTCATGAAACCGTAATTTTAGAGTCTGGTTCATTGTTAAACTTTTAGAAGGTGCCAGACGTTGTTTTGGAACCTCGGCCGCTTAGCCTACCCACTCCAGAATTGTTAGGTTTCCACTGAAGCCATGCAAGTTTCGTGGAAAGAGCCCTGAGATAAAAAGGCCCCTTGGCCGAGATTCGTTTTGTTATTAGTTAGCCATGCTACGGGCCCGTTACTTTCCCTTTGAGTCTCACTGTGTAAAATCTTTCACATGACACTTTGGGCTGGATGGTTTAAAAATAAATGCAATCTCTCACGGACTTCACCTTGCCTACATTGTAAACTCCAAATGTTTAGCCTCAAGTACAAGGCAGGCCCTTTGTGATCTTTGTTACTTCTCCAGGCTCCTGTGCAGCAGGAGTATCTCCATCAGTGATACTTGGGGAAGCAAAGGAAGCTATTACTCCCCGTGAGCATATTCTCCAAATGCAGCACCTTTTCGCCCACAGTCCGTGACTCAAAAAGTGAGAACTAGTTTTTCTTCTCAAACTCAAATACTTTAGTAGAACTTACCTACTTAAATAGTTCGGAAGTTAACCATGCTATTTTACACCTGCATGCCTTTGAACATACATTTTCGTAGAATATCCTCCACCAACGAAGTGCCTACTATCTATCATTCTCAGATATGTGTACTGGAGTTGCAATGGTGCAAAGTCACTCCCTGACCTCAAAGAGCTCATAATGCAGAAGGAACATGTGAAAAGTAAACAAGCTGGGTGGGGTGACTCACACCTGTAATCCAAGCACTTTGGAAGGCCGTGGTGGGAGGATCACTTGAGCCCAGGAGTTCAAGGCTGCAGTGAGCTATAATCAAACCATTACACTCCAGAATGGGTGACAGAGATAGACCCTGTCTCTAAAAAAAGAAGAAAAACAACAACAACAACAACAGAAACAGACCTTGACACCATGACATTAAGTGCCCTAAAAGAAGTGACTTTTGTGTGTCGCTGGGGTACCTAGGTGGAGACCTTGCTTGACATCGCATAATTAAGAGCATAACCCCAGTTCTACGCTTCATTGTGTGGCCTTAGGCAAAGCATATGTTCTCCTCTGCAAAATGGGAATGATAGTTACAAAAAGAATACAGTTAAATGACTACAAACCCCTTCTGTATGAAGCAAAGGAGTTATGATTTTGGATCACATAAAAAGCACTCATTTGGCCAGGCGTGGTGGCTCGTGACTGTATTCCCAGCACTTTGGGAGGCGGAGGTAGGTGGATGTTTTGAGCTCAGGAGTTC